TATTTCAGAATATATTACTTCCTTTGGAACGATAATTTCTCGAAACAATTTAAAGTTTAACATTTATTGCTGGTTTTATCACTATTTTACTATTTGTGGTTTTGCAATTACTAGTGGTTACAACAGACCTAATGCTAATAGCGCAATTAAACAACACTAAATATGTTCCTTTAAATCCGAGATATTTGACATTAGGTAAAATCTAATGACTTCTTTCAAAATTTTTTCCCATCAAGTCAGAGAATCTAAGTTTATCTAAGAAGTTATATCGCTAAAATTCGTAGTTATTAGTTATTATAAATAAAACCCTATGTTTGCTTTACGTATGGAAAAAGGTGTAGCAAAGAGGAAGTTGGTCTATGTAAATCAACCTTGACATTCGGCTTTAAATTGCCCATCTATTTTATTATGACAGGTAGCCATAGATGTAAGGCAGATATAAAAAGTTGCGTTTATGACCATGAGCCATAACGGCACTTAACAACTCGATCCTAGGACTAATCGGTAGACTGACAATGAGAATTAAGTACGACGGCGATTGGCACCTAATTAGATAAATTCACGTGGCCGCTCATACGTGCCTGTAGCATTACAGTGATCGAGACACTCCGCGCGTCATTAAGTTGCCACTGATTCGCCAGCAGGACTCGGCACTTCCTTGTGGTTTTGCCGATTATCTCTCCCGGTGGTAATTTCGAAAAGTGTCTGACTTGAGCGACTTGTCCAAAGTGGCAGTTGTTAATCGCGTGTCTCTCTCGCAGTCTCTCCCTAATTTTCTCATTAACGTATATTGCACTGGCCGCATCGCGTCGTTATTATTATTATTTTTCTCGCGTAGAGGTATTTACAACTCCCGCGCAAAACAAGTCGCAAATAAATATAGGAATTATGATATTTTTTGTTACGTATATTTGTCAATTTTGATTTTACGCCAGTGCAGAGAAAAAGGTTTTTTTGGATTTAGTATTCCCATTTATTTGACTAAAATTTGTTTTATTGAAACGACATATGCTTGTACGAAATATTATTTGTTTGAATAAAAATTTTGTTGTTTCATTCGAGAAACCTCTATTGTTTGACAGATAATAACATTATTATTTGAAGTAATATCTTTCAATCAAATAATATATTATTTAGTTACAATGAATACAAACAATGAAACAAATTATTTGTTTGAAAATGGCAAAATATATTGATAAAGATTATGGTAGAGGTTATGATAGAGGTCCATGCAAATAATTGCCTTCTTAGAACAACCATTATATTTTTTGGCCGAAATTACGAAAACAATGGCTTATATCGTCTAACAAAAGGATTAAACGAACAGCACTATATCAATTATGTTTGTGCAATACAATTTGATCACGCGAATGCCGAAGATAGAAATTATCTGTTCAAACAAATAATGTATTTAAGACAAAGATATACATTGTTTCAAATTCAAACAATCGCACTTATTGATTTAAACATTGGTTTGTTTGGACCATTCCAAATAACAAATTTATTTGGATACAATAAAATTTATTAAACCCAAAGAAATCTTTTTCTCTGGGTGGTACATCGAAAATCGATCATAGTCATTGATGACGTCATCAGCAATATTTGATGACTACACTTTGAAATTGCAAACATCTAGCGAAAATGCAAACATATGGCACACATATTATTGGTCGCATGGAAGTTATGAGAAGAGCATTAATGACGCTATGAAGAAGTGTTAATTAAACAGTGTTTTATAATGTGATGTACATTTTTGAAAAGATAGATTATTAAGTGTCAACTCGTGCGGCATATTTAATATGCAACAGATCTCACTGTCATTTTATCACAAATAATCTGCTGTGGCAATCGTTATATTTGCATTTATTGAAATTTTTTCATGAAAGAACAAAGCAAATATTTATTGAAGACTTGTGCAAAAGCGGAAGCACTACAGATACAACTGCGTAAAGTCAAAGCGATAGAAATGCTTTATCTCTCGTGTTTCATCTGGTAGCTCTAAAGGTAAATGAAATTTCATGACAAGGTTACGGTATAACTCAACCAAAAAAACCGGTTCTCTAATCTTTCTCGCTAACGCATTTAGAGATTTGCTAATTAACTGTAATCCATCAAAGTATCGAGAAAAGAAAGGATTATAACGGAGTTACACTGAAAAAAAATTCTCTAGTTGAAAATGACCGAACCAGTAGATTCTTATCATATCAGTCAGAATTCCGGTTATTATGATTGAACATCTGATTATCTCTCGACATCAGAATTACAACAGATTTAATTATAAAATTTTGATTTATCCATTTCACACATTAGAATTCCAATTAATGTCACCAAACACTTTTTCCACCGTTCTAACTATAGTTTTCTTTCAATAAATCCATTTTTTTGTAGTTAAACAAAAAATCAGGCAAGATATATATTTGTATAATTTTGAAAAAAATTTAATTAAATATATTTTAACGTATTTTCATATTAATAACCAAAGAATATACGTTTTTATTCTACTGCAGAAACAAAAGCTTTGAGAAAAATATTTAATTATCTACTTCATTTAGTCATCTTAATTGATTAAAATTTTATCGGCGGCAAATAAATAGTAATATATATTTTTATGGATGTGGTAAAGTAAAATAAACTTATTTGTTTTGGGCATCTGTAATTGTTTTCATTCGACGGTTTATTATCTTTTAAACACTTCGGAGAAAAGAAAATATATCTATAACCTAACATCAGAAGATTCCTGCGAAGAGTTAAATTCCGCGAAGTTCATCTGGACATCATCTTCAAAGGAAAGGGACAATACAGATACAATTAATCATCGGCCCTGCGATGCACGCGGATTTTAACGGGCTTACGTAACAATCCTCTCGAACGATGTTCGTGTCACATGACGTACGTCGTATCAATTGCCATAAACATATCTGTCGCCATATCATAAAACGCGAATATCATCGATCGATGATATCCTTATTACTAGTTACCTCGTAAAAATTGTTATATTAAATATAATGACTATTGCGTAATGAAGGAGATATGAGATACGAGGCTGCGAGATGGAATTGATAATTTCAGGGCCGATATCATGCGCGAGCAAACCGCGCAATTGCTTGGCAAATTGAAAGAGGGTCGACCTTATTTTTAGTCTATACTGGGTGTCTCGTCATCATACGCCATGGTAAATACTAAGAGCTTAAAAAAAGACCATTTGTTTCAACATTGAGAGGCACCTCGTGAGCGCTGTGTAACAGGAACATTTAAAAATAACGTATCTCTTTTTATAAGTCTACTAAATTTCAAGTGAGTTACATTGTAACCGAATTTTTAATTTAATTAGCAAGATGTCTGATTTAACGCATGAAAGATTCGTTGTGGAAAACAGATACCATAAGCCACGACCCAGAAACTGTCTAATTAAAACCGCTGGTACATTTTTACGAATAACTTTCCGATCCGAATCTTCTCTCTTTAGGCTCATCCCGATTTGTTTTGTATGTGCACATATAAATAGACACCCAGAAATTTTTACTTCTGACACAGTATCGATTCGCACAAAAGAAAAGAATTATTTATTTCCTTTGAAACACTAAAACATAGCGAGATATTTCTGTGTCAGCGGATATAAGCCATGGCCAATGGCCATTAATATTAAGCCTATTATATATAGAATATCGTGACCTCCACCGATGAACTTTTCATTCGTGAATTCCTCAAGTAAAACCTTTTGCTTTAAAGCAGAGTCAATCTTTAAATTGGCACACAACGGTTCGCAGTTTCTATAAGTTTGTTTCTTAAACGCGGATTAAATTACTGCGTGTGAGAACGTGAAATCACGCGATCAAATCCGCTTAATTTGAATTACATAGTAATTTAACTTATTCGTTTTAATTATATTTTAATTGTCTAACGTACATCACGGTAACGAGTGTGTGCATTAAATTAATCTCGTAAATCATTGTTACGATCTGTTACCTCTTTATGATCGTCCAACGTTTTCGACTCTCTTAATTTAATCACTTATCACTATCGCTATCATCCAGCTGCGTAAATATTTTCAGTATCGAGAATTGTTTCGCGCATCTCGATACAATGAACTCTTATTCAATTTTCAATCTTCTTTGTCTTCTACACACCGCAATCTAGAAAGGGACGTGAGGAATAGAGTTAATCAAAGTTAGGTAACTTAAATTGCCGGTGCGGAGCAGCTGCAATCCCGGCGTGTATAAGTTTGCCTGCCGAGTCACAGATCGATATACGAGATTTTATCTAAAAATGTAGGACGGACATAACATTCGTTCTGTCCACAAAACATTACCGTAATCGCACGAAACGTGATGTTTAATAAAATCACGGCACGAAGGAGCCCTCTATTAACAATATAGTTCGGAAATAATAAAAATAAAAAAAATTAATTATTTATTTATCATATTTCATCAATCTCTTCATTTAGTCAATATTTTTCAACTCGATGATTTGCCATTTAATTTTACCAGCGTCGCGTGCGTGTCTTAATAAACTTTCCTACAACATTAATATCTAATAAACTTTCCTACAATATTAATATCTAATGCACTGAAGAAAGTGTAAAAAAAGCTACCAAATGTTGAGTGAAATAATTTCAATCAACTGTTCGGTTATAATATAACCAAAAATAATTTTACTTCTTTAAATATCTATTAATTATTACCAAACATCTGGTTATATTCTGTTTCATAATACTTACTAAATATTTAGAAAAGTAGAATTATTTTTTGTTATATTATATAACCGAACATTTGATTGAAATTATTTCAACTCAACACACACATTTGGTAATTATTACTCGATTCTTTTCAGTGTGCGATCTCAAAGAAGCGACGAAAATTATAAACAGATGTGCACAGGAATTCACTCAACTCGGAATAATTTCATCGCCAAGCGTTATAATTTATGCACGGGATATGTAACGACTCGTAGCTTAAAAGAATTGTTTCTCGTCGACTCGGTGATTCTTGATTTACGCCTACCTGTTATTATTCGTACGTCAGAGATGCGTTTCTCAGGATGATCGAAGAGGATACGCGAGCACGAGGATTAGCGACGTCCACGCAGATCGGAGAATTCCGGGCGGTTGGTGCTTGGCTACGCGAGTAACGTATGATTTTTGAAGGGACGCGTCGCGAGTACCTTCGATATCGACCCGAGAGGTATCTATACCTACGTTGCACGCACCACGGCAGCTGAGCACCAACTGACGCGATTGCGATTGCTCGCCGGGCGAAACGACGTCGGGCTATAGATGGCGTCTACCCGCTCAGTGAGCGGTTGGTCAACAGTTCGGCATTCGCAGGTAGGTAGGTAGGCAGGTAGGGATGTAGACGCAGGTAGATATGTATGTATGAATGTACGTGTGCATATACAATGACGCGCGTTAATGGTGTGCACCTGTGCAGATGCACTCGCAATTAAGGTAGATGCAATTATTCAGGGCCGGGCTAATGGTCATAAATCATTATCAGGCCTCGGATTAAGATGGTATTAGGCTGGGCTGCTTTATACGAAACTCGATATAACAATAGATAATAATGACGAATTACTAACATGTATTGTTAATTTTATATTATATATAATAATAATTATATATAATACAAAATTAATAATATATTAATTATTCGTTGTTATATATATAAGTAATAACGAATGAATTGCAAAACAATTATTCATTTAAATTCCTTGTGGGCTTTAACTCGATTATTGTGGAGTTTAATTTAAGATTAATCAAGCTTAATCGTTTCTTATATTTTCTTGAGATACGTAATATAGTGACTGAACTTTTGTTCAAAAAGCTTTGATAAGAGTATTTAAGACATTTAATCCGATGACTAAAATGAAAGTATAGGGGAGAGTTGCCGAATTGCGTACCATTTAACCTATTTTTTATTATATTTTCCATTTGGCACTGTTTTGTATGCAAATGAACCTTAGAAATTGTAGCTTGAGGTTTTGAACGCGCTTATTATTACATGTTTAACTTTCCATCAATAACAAATTAATTTGTTATAAATCTTTTTGTAACATGCTGCAAAAGGTACGATTTAGGCGACCGGTCGCCTAAATCGTACCTATAGGTATTTTTTGTCGTATTTCCTTTGAAAGTATTGAATTTATAAATGGAAACAATTAAAAATACCTATAAGATTAATAAAAGAAATCATTAACTAATACCTAATAATTAAGTAATACCTAATTTTAATAATTTATTGAAAAAAATCAAATATTTTATAATTATTAAATAACAATAATGAAAAAACAAATGACACTAAAATAAAATTAGCTTAAATATATTTTTGCATTTGACATTTATATTGATATCAATTATTATTGTCAGTTATCAGTCTTATCTTTTGATGATATGATTTAGGAAATATGATGGATTTTGTAAAAATATCGATTTAATCTTTACAATGATTGCAAATATGTATATATAATGAATGTAAAATATTCTAATAATTCTTTTATAAAAATACAAAGATTTATAATAAAATTGGATGATTGCGTTGTTATCAGCTACATAAGTTGATTAAAAATTAATATCAAATATACCTGATTTTTTAAAACGCCGCTAACGTCCATAAAACAAGACGTAGGCTATTATATGTTTATCTATATTATTAATTTCTCATATATTTTATTATGAGATACGATTTAGGCGATCAGTACGCATTTGGCAACTCTCCCCTACAGCACAATTATTAAGATAATATTTATTAAACTAATTAATCTAATTATAAGAACTTCAATGTAACATGAAATTTTTAGAATGTTTTAAATTAAACTTGGACTCAGTCAGTTAAGTTGTATCAATAAAATTGATATGATTTAAAGTTAAAAACGTTTTTTCTTTAAATATATTACAATAACGGACACAGAGCAGTTGTGAAAATAAAATATGTATAACATTTAGGGTTTGTCATAACTTTAATAAAATTGAAATGTGAAATGTGATAAGTAGCTCGTAAACGAGTTCATGTATTAATATCATATCGTTCTTGGCGAACAAAATATGCCGCTACGAGTAATTAAAAGTAAACGGAATGAGCACGGCGCCACAAAGTACCGGAAGGGGCGGCATCAGTTTATTTGCAACGGTGTCATTAACGCACTACACACCTACGCGATTTCCACACAGGAGATAGTACATATATACCTACGCGCCGATACAAAACGGCTGCGGAAGTGTATAGGTACCTGCAACGTCTCCGAGTGAATGAATGAGATGCAATCGCAAGGCCTTACGCTCGTATGTTTTGTGTGTCTTTTGTATCTTAAAATATCCTTGTTTTCCCTCAACCATTGTTCGCTCATCACGCAGCGAAATGAAACATGCATTCTGTGCTACGTAACATCAGACGATGACGCCGTTCGTAATTTCCTCGACAAGAAATCAAGCTTGAATCAAGCTAAATGTTGATATTAAATACGATATTTCATGTTTCATTAGGAATATTTCATTATAGTTCCCATATTTTCTTAATTAAAAATCGTATAATTAAATTCAAATTGTATTAAATAAGAAATATGTATATGTCAAAGAATGTGTTACCTATAATAAATATTATACCTATATGCCGTTTATGTGTGTAAAATCTTTGAAGAAAATTTGACTTCGTGAAGGTCATTGATTTTGCACCAACGGAAGTGTAATTTCTCTTCACGCTATAGTAAATGAGAGATTTAGCAATCAACGTTAATTCTCCGAAAGAAAGTGGCCGATGAGTAATACTTTGATAGAATTTTATATGTTAAATTCAAAGCACGACAAATAACTTTCGTCGCCGGTCGTGATTGGTGAAAGTAAAGTGCGTTACTCGCATCGCGCTGAAGTTTACTTCGCTGTAATGATCCATGTTATTAATATGTCCTGTTGTTAGCGAGAATTCTTGGAATATCAAACCGCGTCTTTTTCTCGAAAGCAGGAAAAAGAATCCAATCTTAATTATATGTAATATTCTCCACTATGTAATTTTTATATAAATTGTTTTAATTGTATATTATTATTATTATATAAAACATCCTACAGCATCATACAATAGTATTAATAGTGAATTCTGAAGATTAAGTAAAATTAGAAATCCTGATATAAAAATGTTGAAATGTTAATGTTTAAATTAATAATTAAAATTAATGATATGTATATGAAATTTCAAATTTGTTTGGTTTCTTATGTGTATTGTGTATATATTTCGTATGCTATAGCAATTAATTGATATAAAGATTATAAAAAATTGAAATTGCTAATAAAATATATTAACATAAGTCAATAAAATAATCAATAAATATAAATGGATGGACTATAAAAAATTAAAATAAAATTGACGAGTTATAAAAATTAACATTTTTTACATTTATATTAATTAAAAGATATTAATTATTATATAACTATGAAATATTTCCTGTCTTTATTTATACCTAAAATTGACATATATATATAAAATTCGAAGCATTTTAGTATTTTACTGTCTTATACGTCAATTTATATAATATTTAATCCTGAAAACAGATATACAGAACAGACCACAAGTTTTATTTAAACAATATTTGGGAAAGGAAAGAAAAAAAGAATCAAAACAATTAAATATTAGCAATTTTCCACACCATGCATTATAAATATCAATTTCTTTTTATTTCATGTACCTATATAATACAATATACGTAAATTTTGTCCATTTCTCGCTGTCTATATGAAAGGTTCGAACACCATGAAGAAATTTAAATACAAGCTTCTTGTTTTAACAATATGTAAATATTGTAATTATTATAGTACTATTACATTTCTTCATGTTTTTATTTATTTTTTATTATATTTTTAAGGCAACGCCAATTCAGATTTAATCAATTATATACAAGATATTAAAATTGACAAAACAATGCTATTTCTATCTTCATGATGTTCTCAATCGAATCTTTCTATATATAAACTATACAGGGTGTTTCCAAATTAAATGGCAAAACTTCGGGAGCGTGTAGAGGAGTAAAAAACTAAGAAAAAAAGTCCTATAGACATATGCTCCTTTTTGCTTTGTTTCGCAGGAAATCACGAAAAAAGAAAAAAATATATTTAATTTATTATTTTAATTATTTTATTTATAAACTTTTTAATGAAGATTTTGTTCGAAATGTGCACCTCTTGCAGCAATACAAGCATTGCATCTGTCAAACACGGCTCTTGTAGCAGCCAGGCACTGTTCTTGCGATATTCTGTTCGCTGCAGCTACGATACGATTTCTCAAATGTTGCTCTGATTGAATAGGCGAAGAATAAACTTCTTGCTTCAGAGTACCCCATGCATAGAAATCTAATGGCGTTAAGTCGGGCGAACGAGTTGCCCAATGTACTGCTCCTCCACGTCCAATCCATCGTTGTGGGAATTTTCTATCTAACCAGGTTCTAGCGACTCTGCTGTAATGAGCAGGGCATCCATCTAATTGAAACCACATTTCAGTACGTTGTTGTAATGGGATGTTTTCTAAATAGTCAGAAAATTCATTCTCCAAGAAATTTAGAAAACGGTCCCCATTTAATCTTGCAGGTAAAAAAAACATTTTTTTTCGATTTCTCTGAAACGGAGCAAAAACGAGCATATGTCTATAGGACTTTTTTTCTTAGTTTTTTACTCCTCTACACGCTCCCGAAGTTTTGCGATTTAATTTGGAAACACCCTGTATAACACAGCACTATATGCATAATAAATTACACACATTCAGGATTAAATATTAAAGCTAATCTGTTCTAGTCCGTCCATGTTAAGGCAATGGATCCATCTGTGATTTATTAATTACATTTATCTGATTTATTCTTTTAGTTTCTCTTTTAATTAACTCAACATGCTCTACATATATCTTACATGTATGTATATGATATAATTCTATCCACGACAGACTTTAATAAAAATCCATTACCTCCAATTAAAATAGAATCTGTCACTCACAGTACGATGCGCAGCAGCGGAGTTGTAGTCAATATGATGATCTGCAATATTCAAATATATCAAAATTAAAACACTGTTCAAAATAATTAATTTTATAAAAGATAATTCTCGCGAATATCAAATTCTCTATTTAACCAATTAATCATTAAAATAATTATAACATTAATAAATTTAATGTGCAATCTTTATAATGTACTTATCCAAATTAATTAAAAATATTAAAGGCACAGTATTATTCTCTTTTATCCTATAGTGCGTTATTATAAAATTTTATATGCTATAAATTTTAGTTAAATTAAAAAAGAAAAGTTT